TGTATATTTACTGTAAATATAGATCATATATTTAGAGTTTTAGTGGATAGTAAATATGAATTTTGATTTAATTGTTATTTACCCATTATATTACCTATTGATAATCATGCTCTCAGATTTTATTTCGTTTAAAATATTCAGAATAATCCAATTTTTATTTCGATTCAGAGAAGAGCATTGATACTTCTAGTGCAGAAAACGTAAGAACCAAGTTAATGCCAACTCTTGAAATTGGCTCTGTTTCATTGGAGTTATGGTTGAAGGAGAGAAAGTGCAGCTTTCTTCTTGTTTGCGTTCATATAAGTTATCTTGAGGTTTCTTCGGTTTCAAGCTACGAGGGTAATTAGAGTTTCATTACAGAAAACTCATGTTGCTTTGCAATATACATAAGTTTCGTCTGCTTTGGCAATATCATCTAGTAGTTTCTTACAAACAAAGACAAAGAAACAAGAATGCTATAAAGATCTTAAAAGACCCTTTAAACTTTGATCATTACAAACAAAAAGAGTTTTATAATAAGAGATAAAGCTCACACAAAAACAGTAAATGAGAAGTCGCATTCACAGCCAAAACTAGCTGGATTCTTATGAAGAAAACTTCAGCCATCATCATCATCTAAAAGACAAAGAGAACCAAATTTGTTAATGCTCTCAAACGTACCACGATCTTGTTTCTTGTGATGATCTTCTTCAGATGTTCTTGTGGGTTTACGCCGCTTCTGTTCTGGTCGGCTTATAGATGTTACAGCATATGTTTTCTTTCCAATATTAAACTCAATGTCCTCTACATGGTCTACAAAGACGTACAATCTATTCGGATTGTCAAACACTTGATGTTTACCATGGATTTCAACAGTTTGGAGAGTACTTCTTTCGGGATCGAAGTAGTACACATAAAACGGTTTAGATGCACGGTCGTCCGACAAAACAATTTCACCTGTAGATGTTACTCCAGCAAAGGAAACCTTGTAGGGATTATTGGCTTTATTCTCCGGCAAAGTGTAGACATATTCCGACCATACCTCTTTCTCAATATCCTCTAGAACACTCATTCTCAACTCAATCGAAACACTTCCACCATCTTCGTCATATTCCCTATGAACCCCACCTAATTTACCCTTATAGTTTATCAATTGATGATAATTAGATCCACGAGAAAAGTCATGTTCATCAATAAACTTGAATTTCTCTGACCTAACATCAAAGCAAACTATCACACTAGACATTTTATCATAAAACGTTCCAGCTTCTTTTAGAGGTAAGTAATACAAAACCCCATTAATGCATATCCCTGATCCTAGTTTCTCAAAAGACTCATGAGATAATGGACATTCGATCTTCCTCCACGTCATATTTCCAGTTCCTAATGTCAGAATTCTATGATTATCCCTACCATTACTAGGTGGATTACCAGTGAACAACAATACCTTGTATTGCTTGCCAATCGGATCAAACCCTAAAAAGCTTGTCGAGTTTTCGTACGTTCTGATACTAGGTAAGGTCGCAAACCGTCCCGTGCTACGGTTACATATGAGAGGCCCCGTATCCTTATACTTTCTTGAGATCAACATGTGATGGAAATAGATCAAACCAGAAGTAAGGCTACAAAAATCTGGACGCATGTCTTGACGAAACTTCATATGAAAATGGGCAGATACTGCACGAGACGACTTCAGATTCCAATGCTGAGGCGACGAGTAGAAGCTTCAGTCATAAACACCTTCGGTGTAATCTTTGTTGTATTCTATGATGGCGAATAAGAGACGTGGCCGCCTCGGGGACTTGGTCATAAATAACTTGGGGACATATGGACGGCCAAGTATGGATTCCCATAACTTCGACACGCAACGAAACCTCCCGATGGACTTTGCAGGCAACCCTTAAGAGTACCTCGAGAATGAGATCATCCGGGAAGGAATCTAAAATTCCTATTCTTTTCATGGTCGATGGACATGAACTTATTGATCATCACCTTGAGACTCTAATATATAAGAGTTTGGGGGCTAGGGTATTTATTCCCAA